GTCTTGTAGTAGTAGATATTATTATGCTTTAGTACATTATGCATTCCAGAGCAGAAGGTTTTTGCTGGAAAGCTTCACTGTTAGATATGATTTGCATTTTTTACTAGGTACTTTTCTTTGCTCCTTGAAGACAAACACGTTAAGGATTCCTTTGTGCATAAACAAAACTGTGGGGTTGAGTGTGTGTTCTTAACAAGACTGGCAATACTTTAAAATAGGGCATGCCTTTACTGCAGGGCCTAAACGGTTTGTTTGGAGTGGTTAGGGTGAGGGAGCAAGGCAGAAATAAAAGACTTTTAGGGCAAATCCATCTGTAATCAAAATAAAAACGTTAAGTCGTCAAATCAAATAGCAAGGATTTGAAAGTAAAATGATTTACTACTGATTTTTAAAAACTGAGTTTTTTTGTAGTGCTCTGTTTGAGGCTCTTGCCCTGCTATAGTGCTGAGCAATGTGTTTAGTCGACCTATTGAATTAAGCCTGTACTGTGGGTAATTCCACCTGAGTCGTCTCCAGGCTGGGGACGCACAGGGTCAAGTCAGAGAGGTGGGCTCCTGGCACCACCCGGGTGTAGTTTGCCCCTTCCCGTCCACGAGGAGGCTGGCCTGGAGGCCGAGGCTGGTACACCTCCCCGCAGGCCTGGCCGGAGCCAGTGGGTCAGCTGCATTTAAAGCTGGTCTGAGCTGCGCCTTCCTGGCTGCTTTCGAAGGCTGCGGCCCGGTCGGGGGAAGCGACGTGAGCGTGAGCGCTCGGGAAAAAAAGCCGTGGGCAGGTGAGTGTTGGGTCCTAACGCGGGAGAGGGCGGAGCAGCGAGGCCGGGACACCCCGGCTGACGTCCCCAACCGGCACCTGGGCCGCGTCGCGGACAATGCCGCCCGGCCGGCCACACTACAACTCCCGGCGCGCTCTGCGCTCGCTCGCAGAAGCCAAGGCGGCCCGGCGTGCACTGCGCCGGCCGGCCTGACAGCCGGGCGCTCCGCGCGGCCCGCTCAGTGACCTGGGTCGGGGGAGAAACCAGCTGGCCAGCCTCCTCTCGGTGCCTCACCGCCTCGCCTTCTTTATTCCAACTGCCGGGGACTCGGCCCGAAGACTGGGAAGCAGCCTCCTAAATACAATCCCGTAGAGTCGGCGCCAGCCAATAAAGTGCGCGGAGTCAGGCCACGTGACAATAGCGGGGTGGTCCTCCGATTGCTCCCTAATCTCTATGGTTTTGGCGACTCGCTAGAGGGCGTGTGGACCACTGGAGGACTCCCTACATTCTTCCTCCATTACCTCACTGCCTCCGGTGGCTGCTGGGATACCGGAAGACTCGGGTCCCGGCTCGGCTCAGTCCTCCAGCTGCCCCGGGGAATACCTTTAGCAATTCTTTCCTACCGCTACCGCCGCCCCGCCGCTTCCTCCTCCGCCCGCCCCCCGCCGGCCTTCTTGGCCCCGCCCCGTCCGCGCCGCGCGTCTGGCCCGCCCGCGGCCCGCTTCTCTCGGGAGCCCCCACCCAGGTGCATGGCTCCATGAAGCAGGAGGAGGAGGCAGAGCGCGAGAGGTTCCGTCTGCCCCGGCTGCGTCTGGGCCAGGAGGAAAGGTGGGAAACTCGGTCCGCGCCGCTCCCTCCTCCCCCGTGCCCGCCGGGCCGGCCTCCCTCCAGCTGCCGCCTTGCGCGCCGGGCCTCCTCACCCCGGGGCGACCGGAGGGGCCGGGGAGCGGGTCCCCCCCGGGTTCGGGAAGAGGGTCCCGGGACAGCGTTGGGGGGAGCTCCCGGGCGGCGGTGAAAGGAGGCGGCAGGCGGGGCCTGCGGGCCGCGTGTGCCCGCCGGGAGCAGGGGGGTCAGGAGGCGTGCTGGGGAGGGGCGTGGGCGGACGCCCCTGCCCCCGGGCCGCGAGGCGAGGCCGGGCGAGGCTCCAGCTCCTTTCTGCACTCCCTCCAGGAAGCAGTCTCGGGTCGTGTAAAGTTTGGTGGTCTCCGGCGCCGCCTGGCGGCCCTTGCCCCCAGTCCCACCGCCCCCTCCCCCGCCCGACGTCTGGATTCCACCCCCGCGGCTCGGCCCTCGCTGCCCTACCAGTCGCTGGGTCGTCCCACCACTACTCCCGGCGCCGCACGCTTTCCTTCCACCCCCTTTTCCTTACCATTCACCTTTCTTTCTGCCTGTTTGGTCCCTCCCCACTCTGGCTTCTCCTCTCCCCACTGTATCTCGCCCTTTCCTTGCTGAACTCTCTTTCACACGCACGCTTTCGCCTCTTCTTCTCTTTCTTCCCAACTCCACCCTCATTCTGTCCTTCCTTATCCACCCAGAGTCCCCGTTTCCATCATCCCTCCACCTGACACTCTTGTGGGTTTTATGCCTCCCTCCTTCCCAGGCTGTGAGCTTTGCCCTTCATTCCTCGCCCTCCTCCATCCCCTGTCCTGATCTGAACTCCTCACTTTGCCACACTCCCTCACCCTTATCCCTCTGGGCCTATCCTCTTTCACTGTCCTCTCCTAGGATAGAGTGGGTGGGGCCTGGAGTCTCCTGTTTACATCTTTGGGAATAACTCACATCTCTACTTCTGGGGGGGGTGGGGAGAGTTGGTGAAGAGATTACGAAGAGATTTATGCCAGCCGAAGAGTATGATGGGTGACTCTTACCTACAGTTATCATCTCCACCTGGGATAACAAGATGGCCTGGCCTCAGGACCCTGGCATGCTGTCCAGTAATCTTTCAGCACCATCTTTGCAGAGGATTTGGGAATCTGTTTGTATTCTGAAGCCAGTGGAGAACCTTGAAATGGTGTATCTTGGCCTGAGAACAAGTTTTGGTCTAAATTAGTGGTAGAGGAAGTTTTAATGTGTGTTAATGTTCAGGTTCAATAAAACCTTTGATCCCCCCGTCCTCCCTTCTTGGGGACGGCACCAGGGATGAGATGATTTTGTGCATGGGGTTGCCCTTGCTGCCTTATATTTAGATTTTGAAATGTTTTGAATTAAAGCCTGTTCCTTAGCTTTTTTTTTCTTTCTAGAAATTGCTCTGTTGAGTTGTAGTTTTTCAGAAACCATCTCTTACCCCGGCACTGCCTTGATTTTGTTCATTCACTGCACCTGCATTTCCATCTTAGGTACAGGAAGAAGGAATGGAATCGGAAGGAAGAAAATTCATTTCAGAGACAAAATAGCTCCCCTCCTCTGTTATAGCTGTTCCCCTGGCAATACAAACTTTCTGCTTTCAGTGAGTATTACCTTGGACATACTTAGACTAGAATTTTGTTGCTTTTGCTCTCTTTTTTCGTTTTAGGCCTGTGCTAGGACTTTAGGATGTAGGTTTACTTTGTTCGCTTCTGTTATTCTGCTTCCGTGAGGGTGTCCTAAAGCTGATGAATCCTTCCACTTGCTCTCTTTATATGTAAAGACAAGTTTATTTTCCATAATCCCATTAGAGTGACCTAGATGGTGGTGTAGTATTACACTTACCCTTCGCGTCTCCCACCGCTTCCCAAATTATGCATTTTTTAAAGACAAAGATCATAACTTGTAGGTTAATGCAGTTCCTGTCAAGGTCAATTATTGGGTGTCTTCCACATGGGTATAATCTTCAGAGATTTATGGAACATTTTGCCCTGAATCTGCTAGGGTGATACTGTTTTCTTAAAAATAATTAAAAGTCTACACGTAAACCAAGTTCTGGAAAAATTTTTATTACTGCTGCGTTCCCCTCAAATGTGTTAATAACGGTATGCAAACACTTGTAAGAGAGTTTTCCAGATCGCTTCGCATCTTACTGGAGGCTCACAGCCACTCTGTGAGGAAGGCAGAGGACAAATATTTTCATTTTACGAATGAAAGAACCAAGGCCCAGAAGGATCTGGCACCCTGCCATAGCTCACAGAGTAAAGGGAGGGGATCTAAAAGGAAAACAGAGCATCTGACTCCTTGTGGTCATGTTTTTCCTTAAGCTAAGTTGACATGAAAGTGTATAGTACTGTGTATTTTTCTAAATCTGTAAATTTTAAAAGCAATTGTATAGGTAGATCTCTTTTTCGCAGGGAAAATTTTCACACAGCAAATGTTTTGGCTGTTTATGTGTGTATGATGGGCTTTCGTGTAGAAATGATTATTTGAAATGATGACCAGAATGTTTGTGGGTCTTTCATCTGTTTCTTGGAATTGTTCCATAATAAGTAGGCCAGAATTATAGCTCAGGTGCCGTTTCACTGCTCAAATAATGATTAAATTGAATTTCAGTTCAACTCTGTGTCACAAAGGAAACAGCAGCCTGTTCCCTTCTGCGTAAAGCTTGGTTTGAATAGACATCCGGAGAGTAAATAATAACAGAAGAAAATACAGAGACCTCTTTTTTCTTTGCTTTTTGCCTACCTTCCAAATCCATTTTCTATGTTAGAAGGTCATGCCCCCGCATAGGCTGTTTGGGGCTTCAAAAGATGACTCTCTCTCTATTTTTTTTCCACCTCCAGGCTCTTCTAGATGTTTTAATCTGGTTATTGTTGGAAATCTAACTGCTTTGACTCAGTAGTTCTGTTAGTACTCAGTATATATCAAGGTATCTGTAATAACAACAACAAATTTAGTTTCTTTTTAGTGTATGGCTGCAAGCTTAAAAGAGGACCCTTGTAGAACAGAACTGTGCACAGCTCTCAGCCCAATATTCCTTATATCTTCTGGTGTCTCACAATGAAAAAAACAGTGGATGACTTATTAGAAGCATGTCTCTCCAAAGAGGAAAAGCATCAAGGTCATTAGAGTAATAACCCCATGTTAATAATATGATCTTTTAATGTATCTACAAAGCAGAAGTAGAGTCACGGTTGTAGAACACAAACTTATGGTTACCAGGGGAGAAGTGGGGGAGGGATAACTTGGGAGATTGGGTTGGACATATACCCACCACTATATGTAAAACAGATAACTAGTAAGAACCTGCTGTCTAGCACAGGGAAGTCTACTCAATACTCTGTAATGACCTATATGGGAAAAGAATCTAAAAAAAAAAAAAAAAAGTGGATATATGTATATGTATAACTGATTCACTTTGCGCTACATCTGAAACTAACATGACATTGTACATCAACTATACTCCAATAAAAATTTTTTAAAAATAATATCTCTACATGGTAGTTCTTAATAGAATTTTATTATGAGGACATTTATCCCTCTAGAAATTGTAAGAACTCAGAGCTATGTTATTTATATAACAAACCCTGCTTTTATCGGTAAAGGTAGTCCTAGTATTAGTAATAGCAGATGCTTTAATGAATAGTAGTTCTGTGCCAGAGAAGTGCTAGATGCTTTTCATGTCTTAGTGAATTGCTCACAGCTAAGCCCTCTGTGGTAGCAGGAGCCCAGGTCCACAGAGATGTGACAGCCTGCCTGAGTTTGTACCTGGTAAGTCAGATTGGGGATTTGAGCCTAGACAGTAACCCCAAAGCCTGGGCTGTGTCCTCCGAAGATGGGAGCTGCTCTGGGAAGGCACCAGCTTGTTGTTTTCAGTGGACTTAGGAGCCTTGGAAGGGACCCCTAGCAAGGGAGGAAGGCCCTCCTGTCCAGCCAGCCACGTCTGTCAGGGTGTCCTCACATCCTCCCCTCAGTACTGGTCTCCACACCTTGTTTATGTTTATAACATCAGCAATTTATGAGACATCATTTGTATTAACTCCTTTTTTTAAAATTTTTATTGGAGTATAGTTGTGTATTAACCCCTGAAATCGTAAATTGCCCTCCAGACAAATAAGGCTCCCTTGGGTAGCTCTTAAAGCGCCCCATCTTTGATAAAGAAAAGAAAATTCTTTTCAAGTGCAGTTTAGAAACTAGGTGTGTCCTTTGGAAGGAAAGCCTTGAGCAACCTACGGTTGAACAGCACCTGCGGCCAAGTCTAGGACTGACCAGTTACTGTGTTTTAGCCAAGAAGCCAGCTACCACCATAAACCAAACCAAGAAGTTACTGTAGGGGATATTTGACGTGTTTTTTAGAATGGATTGTCCACGTTGGCTCTCCACCTTGCTATGAATTAAACCACTCCTTGGTTTGGGCTGAGTAGAGCTGATGTTGTGTTTTGGTTTGGTTTTGGTTTTGTTTTTTTTGGCCACACCCCGAGGCTTGCGGGATCTTAGGTCCCCGGCCAGGGCTCAAACCCAGGCCCCAGCAGTGATAGTGCCGGGTCCTAACCACTGGACCGCCAGGGAATTCCCTGAGTTGACATTGTTGATAATAATAGATACCTGTATTTTGGTCACTTTCAGCTTCTGACACACTCAACAGTCAGCACCTCACAGTGAAACAAGAGTATCTAAAAGTCAGGTTGTGCCATAAATATTCTTTTTATTAGAAAGGCTAACTTAAATGGAATTGCTGGGAGATCTGTAGATAAGGTTGTTGGTGTGTGTACCATGTGCGAGGCACTGTGTTAGGTGTTGCGAAAGAAAAAACACAGATGCGGCTCGGCCTCTGAGACCAAAGGTGTTGATGAGTTCGTTGCTGGCTGGAATTTAAGTGGCTATGTAGGCCACTGGGCCCAGATCAACAACACACTGCTCAGCTTTCCCACAGAGGGGGCCGGAGAGGTGCCTTTGTTGTGCACCCTCGTGAAGGACAGGACCCCTTGAATACTGCATGTCAGGTAAAGGGTGTGGTGACTTTTTCAACCCTGAGAGCAACTTTACTTCATTTGACACTTGCTAGGTTAGGTGGTCTTAAGAGGTAACACAGGGATTCCTGTTACTTCCTCCAGCTTTTTGTGGGAGTGTGGGTATTGTCTCCATCTGGTGGAAATCCAGTTTTAACTAGTTCTTTTTCATTGTTCGCTCTAAAGTGGACAGACAGTAGGAAAATGACATCACTGCCATTGGCCCTCAAAGTGGCCCTTGAGTTTAGCTTTGAAAGAGTAACCAGCTGAAGGCTCCGAAGGTCTTAGTGATACGGGTTTACAGAGCAAGGGTCTTTGCCTGATTCCAGTTGCTTCAGATGAACCAGCTGGACAGGAGGAACGTTTGTTTGCTCCTACTATGATCAGGGTACCATTGCTGGTAGTTTTTATGAGGTTTGGGGGAAGAGTGAGAACAAATGCACACAGTCCTAAAAGAGGTAGACTGTGCCGTTGGGGTATTTGTTTTTAGCTGGTCAGACAGCAGGTTAGTCTGTTGTACTGCAATGCTATTATTCTGAGGGATCTCACACTGTGCCCCCAGAAGCCGAGCGGTTGGAGAAATGAATGTGTCTTTGGTCATTGTAGGACAGTCCCGGGAGCCGAGTCTGGGACACTTAGCTGTGGTGAGATGCCCGCTTTGTTGGAGTGGGGTTAGAAGAGTCTCACTTTAAAGAGAAACCTGATGAAATTGATAGGTTGAGGTTGATATGGTAAGTAAAAGTACTCACTGCCAGCACCTTCAGTCTTTCCTGTCGTTCACTTAACATCTGCTTGACGCTGACAGATAGGTAAAATACTGGTCCCTTTAAAAACAAACCTTAAAAATTCAGTAGGAGGTGGGGAGATGGAGTAAGTAGGCTGCATATGTTTGAAATTTTCTATAGATTTAAATTTATGGAAATTTTTATTTTTTTATTTTTTTATTTTGCGGTACGCAGGCCTCTCACTGCTGTGGCCTCTCCCACCGCGGAGCACAGGCTCTGGACGCGCAGGCTCAGCGGCCACGGCTCACGGGCCCAGCCGCTCCGCGGCACGTGGGATCCTCCCGGAGCGGGGCACAAACCCGCATCCCCTGCATCAGCAGGTGGACTCTCAACCACTGCGCCACCAGGGAAGCCCTATGGAACAAATTTTTAAAGAAATGCCTTCTAATATATTTTTGAGGCAGAAGGTCTCTAACTCTGCCTTTGGTCACTAACTGAGAATATCTGTTGAATTGTTTGCTTAGTGGCCTCCAGAGAAAGCTCGGGCCTAAGGAACCACAAGATTTGGGTGGGTTCTACAGATTACAAATCATAGTTGGGGAGGGGGAATTGTTAAACGTACTCTCTTGGTGTCAGTTGTGATCATGCCCCACTGCAGATCGGTGATTGTACGTGATGTGTAGGCAGAACCTTCCTAGGCTTGAGCTCACCTGCCTTGGCATGGTTTGAAAATCCCTTCTATTGCTCTGTTGTAGGATGTTTCACAGTCAGGTAGCTGATAGCACCTGCAGAGAAACACCTGAGTTGCCACTATCTCATGACATTTCGCCCTTCGTTCAGGTGTGCTTTGGTGTAAGGCGAATGAGGAAAGATTTCTTTTTTTAACCTATTTTATCCCTCCTCTTTGCCTCTTTGAATTTTGGGGCTCTCTAGAGGCAGAGCCTCAGGGCCCTGTTGGTGCTGTTAAAACTCTAGCTCTCGAGAGATGGTCCCTCTGCTTCATTCAACACGTGTCCTAAACCCCCTGCACACAGTTATGCACAAGGTGGAAAGTCAGGTAAGAGCTCAGAGGGCAGTGCCATCCCTTGTGGAGTCAAGGGACAATGGCAGGGGTACTGATGATTGTCAGCGGGATGGCGGAGATACTGGCTTTGGGCTTAGGTTCTTTTTTCCCCCTGCTCCATTTTTGTTGGCAAGATTTTGCAAACTATTCTTTTAGTTTTTAGTGTACCCTTGATTTTTTTTCTTTTTTTTTAGTCATGCCCTTAGGAAGGGGACTGAATCCCATGGATATTATTGGCAGGCCTCATTCTTCTTTGTGGTTTGGTGGGAAGACCCAGGCTTTGGAGTCTTACAGATGGACTGTGGTCCAAATCCTGACTCTGCCACTTAGCGGCAGTCTGGCTTTGGGCAGATTATCTTGCTCATTAAACCTAAGTATCCTCCTTTGTAAAATGATGGTAACGTTGTCCTCCTTGCTGAGTGGTTTTGAGGATTCAGTGAAATCCTGTTTAAAGAGCACCTGGTCGATGCTCTAAGCCCTGAGTGCCCAGCGAAGTCCTGGCCTTCCGGAAGTTTCCATCCTGGTGGGAGCAGATGATAAGCCCAGATGATAAGAGCAGCTGACTCTATGCCAGACGCTGTATGGAAGCAGCTGACACATATTAAACTCAGTTCTCCTAACAGCCCCATGAGGCACGTGCTCCTGTTATTCCCAGTTTGAGGGAACTGAGGCGTAGGTTAATCCTGGAGGAATCAGGATTTGAACGCAGGCCATTTGACTCTGGAGGCAGCATTTTTTTTTTTTTTTCGTACGCGGGCCTCTCACTGTTGTGGCCTCTCCCGCTGCAGAGCACAGGCTCGGGAAGCGCAGGCTCAGCGGCTCAGCGGCCATGGCTCCTAGCAGCATGTGGGATCCTCCCAGACCGGGGCACGAACCCATGTCCCCTGCATCGGCAGGCGGACTCTCAACCACTGCGTGGAGGCAGCATTTTTAACCGAGATCTTCTGCTCCCTCTCTTAACAGTCCGAACAAGGCAGTGATATCCGTGCTCAGGAACAATCTAGTCATTGGAGGTTTTACTGCATCACGTGCGTGAGGCTTTCTCAAAAAGAAGCCCCTGTTTCAGGCCAGACATTGAAGCATGCAAGCTGCTATTCCTCTGCTAGAGACAACTTTCATCTTCCGAAGAACTGTCTTAGATACAAAAATGTGTGTTTGTTAGGGGTCAGTATATATCAAGAACATAAGCAATATTTGTGAAATTTTTGTATCTCATTCAACCTAAAGTGGCAGGTTGTTTTTGTAGAAATTACGGCATTGCAAACGGGTACATGCATATCTAATTTGATGTAAAAGGTTGTAGAATTTACAATCAAAATACTATACAGTAGAGCAGTGCCTAAAAGGCAGTTGTGTGCTACGTGTTCAAACCACAGGGAAAATTTTAGGTAGGGATTATATATATTTTTTTGAGTGGGAGGGCTACAACTAACAGGTAATGACTTGAGGAAAAACAAAGTGTACTTTTCTCAAGTCAGCAGAATTTTACAAACTTTGGTATTATCAACATTGAAATAACTAGGATCGCTTTTCCTGAGCCTGCTGATTACAGACACAGACAACAGAAAGGATCTTGATCATGTTATAACTATATATCTTCACCTTAGGCTCTTTAAGAAAAAGAATTCAGTGGAAAAAGATTCCTTCCTCCCCTTAATCAGTTGGGGCTCTCCGGTTTCCTGGGCCATCTGATGCCGCATTTGGTTAAGCTGATGGCTTTGCATCTGTCTGCCTTGCTATGACAGGGCAGAAATGGCTGCCTCACAAAAGGGCTGTGAAGCTTGGGTCATTTGTGTGAATAAAGGTTTCTGCTAGGTTGTAGCTTTTTTTTGAATGGGGTCTTGAAAGGACAGAAGTGTAGAACTTGGAGTGAGTTCAGAGGAGAACCAAAGAAAATGAGTAAGGCTGTGCAGGACAGCTGTGAGGATGGAAAGGTGGGAGGGGAGCCCGGTGTTAGAAAGCGTGCTCTCGTCAGAACAGCTGCTGCCTTTCATCTTCATAGAGGTCCGGGGCTAAAATTACACAGAAATTGAGGTTAGTGATGAGGAAAATGAGGAAAGGATGTGGTTAACAAGGAAAAGCAGGGCTTCCCTGGTGGCGCAGTGGTTGAGCGTCCGCCTGCCGATGCAGGGGACGCGGGTTCGTGCTCTGGTCCGGGAGGATCCCACATGCCGCGGAGCGGCTGGGCCCGTGAGCCATGGCCGCTGAGCCTGCGCGTCTGGAGCCTGTGCTCCGCAATGGGAGAGGCCACAACAGTGAGAGGCCCGCGTACCGCAAAAAAAAAAAAAACAAAAAAAAAAACCAAGAAAAAGCATGAAAGTTTCTCTGGGGTTCTTTAAAAATAGGGTGGTTCAGTTTGGAGCCTCTAAAACGGTAGAGAAAGTGTCCTGATAAGGCACCTGACAGGTCAAGTGCAGTCTTCCAGTCGGTCTTGAAGCGTCCCCATTCAGCTGCACGCTGGCTGCCACCCCACCCTTCTTTCTGCCCAGGGAGTCCTGGGCAAGAGGGAGCTGCTTGTGGCCTGCCTCCGTCCGTGGCGATGATAACCTTTATGGAAAATGGAAAACAGCTCCCCCTGAGGAAGAGGTTAGGCGCCTTCGGTCTGGAACTCAGGGTCTCTTCTAGCCCACTGGTCTGCCACCCTTTGCAACCAATGTGACCTGGGCAAGAAAGTATTTGATGGCTCCTACCCTCTCCATGGAGACCCTTTCTCTTTGAGTTTTGTGTTCTCCTTGTGGCTAACCATTTGAGTTAATGCTTGCGTGTTCTCTTCTGGGTTAGGGTTCCGCAGCATTCCAGACCTCAAGCACTGGTTCAGGATGGGAAAAAGACGCTGCGTCCCCCCACTGGAGCCCAAGCTGGCAGCAGGCTGTTGTGGGGTTAAGAAGCCTAAGCTGTCTGCAGGTGGGACGCACGGTCACGGGAGCCAGTCCACAGCCGTCCCCGGCTCCAGCGCGGGGCCTCTTCAGAACCACCAGCATGTGGACGGCGGCGGTGGTCGCGAGAACGTGTCGGACTTAACTCTGGGACCTGGAAACCCTCCCATTACACGGATGAACCCCGCATCGGGAGCGCTGAGCCCTCTCCCCAGGCCCAATGGAACTGCCAGCACCACCAAGAATCTGGTGGTGACCGCAGAGATGTGCTGCTACTGCTTCGACGTCCTCTACTGTCACCTCTACGGCTTCCCACAGCCACGCCTTCCTAGATTCACCAATGACCCCTAGTGAGTAAAGCGGTTGCGTGTCGGGGATGGTGAGAAAGGCATGACGCCTCTGTCGAGGGCATTCTCTTGAGGGAGTCTGCTACTTACAAAAAGCTTAACATGATTTGGGCAAAGGTTGTTGGGAATAGGATGATGAGAAACGTGCAGCCAATGTCTAGAACACTCACTGGGCTCAGTAATGGAAGGGCACTAGGCTGTGTTTGCAGGAGTGGTTGGCTTGTCAGAGTAATGTTCCGGGAATCAGGAGGGTTTCGTTCTTGGTCTTCTGTTGGTTCAAATGGCAGTGGGTAGGTCATTTAACCTCTCACGTGGAGAAGTCACACCATCACACCATTGTGGACCCGAGCACCGTTGAAGCCCAAGTGACCTGCCAGTGTCTGGGTGCCAGGTGGGAGACTCGGAGCTCATTTAGTGGGAGCTGAGATGCTCTTAACAAGGGTCCCCTCACTTGGTTCATTGTCAGTCCCATGGGGCTGCCGGCACCCCACCAGGAATGTCAGAATTTGCTGTACTGTGTTTAGTTCAAGACTCTTATTTGTCCCAAGTCCCCTCGAGGTGTCAATGACTTTAATAAGGAATGTGTGTAAAGGGTAAAGTCAAGTGAAGATGCTCATGCCAATGCTTTCTTTCTCAATTGGAAGCAGCTTTGAGGTGGCTTTAAAGAGCACTGCTGCTTTTTTATTTTTATTTTTTTAGGAGATGCTTTTAGAGCATTCACTGACTGATCATCATTCCTCGACTGTTAATGCCATACTGAGGCGGTGCATAGCCCCACTGGGCAGGGAATGGAGGAGTATGAAGAAACAGTCCTTGCTCTCGGAAGACTTGAGTTGGCAGATCACACACAGAAGCTAAATAGTGTTCACACACCGTCTGGGCAGAGGTGGAGAGGAAGTTACTCCTGTGATTGTGTCAGAGGAGAAGAAATGCAGAGAAAAATGTGCTCACTCTTTAGGGAAGTATTGCCGTGCGATACCGTGAACAGAAAAATCCGGACTGAGTCGGTGGAGAGGCTAAGCCTTGATCTGAGTGGGGTCAGGTGTGTCCCTTGCAGGAGAGGGACGTGGGTTTGGAAGAGTAGGTGGTGGCCGCAGCAGTGTAGGATGTGGAGACAGTGGAATTCTTGAAGGGTTTTTGAGCAGGTTTTGGAACATTAACTTTGGCTGGTGGTGTTCAGGTGTTTTCCTGGAAGGAAAAGATGGGTAGGTGGGAGATCCTGCTTTGTAATAATGATCAAAGTTAGATAACTTAAGAAATTTAAGTTGCTTTTGAGAAGTGTTAACTCAAGAATCAAAGAGGTAAGGGCATAGGAATATGGAGGAATTTCAGGAAGAGGTGACAGCCCTGTAACCTCTGCCTAAAACATGTCAGCGTCAATCGGATGTAGCCTAATGCAGCATGACTTGGGCCTAGAAAGTGGTTAACTTCTGCTAAGAATAAGCTTTTTATTTTATCTTAGTGGCGCCACTTGGCTTGCGGGATCCTCGTTTCCCCACCAGGGATCGGACCCGAGCCCTCGGCAGTGAAAGCGCAGAGTCCTAACCCCTGGACTGCCGCGGAATTCCCCAAGAACAAGCTTTCTTGAGGAGACTTTTTCTTTTTTTCTGGAATTTATGAGCAGGAGAGGCAGAAATAATGATGGGCACGATATGGGGTTGAGTGGAGAAGGTGTGCAGGCCCCGTGTGTCTTCATGAAGGTGGAACTGGGAGCATAGACACCTGAAAAGAGAGTAAACAAGAGGAGAAAGACATGGAGAACTAGAAGAAGAAAGAAAGAGTTGAGTCCTGGGCAGAGGAAGAAGAAAACGGCACGTCCACGTGGTGGTAGAGTGGAGTGAGGCTGTGAGCAGAGGCCTTTCTTCTCGTGCCTCGCGTCGATTTCCTCTCCATTTACACCCTGGGGCTGCGCGGCTCGGAGAGGGCAGAGAGGGCAGAGCCTTTCAGACAGCCCGCGTCAGGAAACCATCCTTGAGGGGAAGAACAGATGAACGGGGATGGAGCCGAGGCTTTCTTCTTCCCTGATTGATGTGTGCTTGCTCTTTCAGTCCGCTCTTTGTGACGTGGAAGACGGGGCGGGACAAGCGGCTTCGTGGCTGCATTGGGACCTTCTCAGCCATGAATCTTCATTCAGGACTCAGGGAATACACGCTAACCAGGTAATGGCAACCGCACGTAAGACTGGTAGATGATTGGCAAGAATGGAAAAAAAACTGCCTGTCTCTTCTGAGTGGTGAAGTCCAAGTGTTCTCTTTTGGCTAATCAGGAAATGTAGGGGACTTAATCCGGTGAGTCACTTCCAGTCCAAGTGCAGGCAGTTAGTGGCGTCAGGTTGTTGGCAGCATGCTCGGGCTGATGGATAGTGGATGTTTTCTGCAGAGCTCGAGAGCCATAAGCGTTCGGCACATGATGTTGGCTCCCAACCCTGGAGCAGCCTCACTTGTGTTTTCTGTCCCCTCCAGTGCACTTAAGGACAGCCGATTCCCCCCCCTGACCCGAGAGGAGCTGCCTAAGCTTTTCTGCTCTGTCTCCCTCCTTACTAACTTTGAGGATGCCGGTGATTACCTGGACTGGGAGGTGAGAGCAGCCGCATTTGGAACTCTGCGTCTCTCGTTGCATTTGGGTTCGGGTTAGTACATGGTAACGTGTCTCCTTCATTGAGCGAGGGTCTGAGGATGTGAAAGCTGAGCTTGGGAGGAATTGCAGGCAACTTGGGTGACAGAAAAGGTGCTGCGGTATCAGAAGTAGGAAGAAATGGGAAGGCTTTCTTCTCCCATTCTTCCCAGTCTACTCTGTTGCACATCCTTTTCCCATGTCTAATAAGAAATAGGAATGGGGATAAAGGAGAACATTCCTGATTCTTTGTGGTAAGCCCTTATCAGGAGCCATGTGTGCAGAGTCAGGGGCCCAGATCAAAACCCTGTGGCATGTTCTCTTAATGGAGTAGATTAAAGGTGGAATATTCAAGATCTTTGGATGAACTGCTGAGAGAATTTATTTCTGTAGCCTCCGTACTCTCAGAGAGGTGGCTGCACGTAGACTCTCACTTCCCCTAAAGCAGCAGTTTCTTTGGCTTCCATGCCTGAGAGAGAGAGTAAGTCATGAAAGGCAAGAGCCTCCCCTTTTCTCAGCCCTGGGTCAAGCTGGTCAGGGGCAGTGTTGATTTATATGAGGATAATTGAAGTTCCACTAGAGTGAGTAAATGCCATTTACCGGTTGTGTGTTTTTGTAGGTTGGGGTCCATGGGATTCGAATTGAATTCGTCAATGAAAAAGGCGTCAAACGTACAGCCACATATTTACCTGAGGTTGCAAAGGAACAAGGTGAGTTGGACACATGGAATTTCTGTGAATGATACAGTTCACAGTGCTGCCAAGTAAAGGGCAGGAGAGTGGAGTGTGTTGCCTTTCAGCCTAACTGTAACTAAGGATGAGTGCCTTTCTTCCTCTCCCCATATCTGTCAAGTTCTTAAAGAACGAGAAACTCCCCCAAAGATGTAGGAGCTGGGAAGAGAAGAGGGGTAAAGACTTCCCACGCCCAGCTGCTCGTTTCACGTACTTTCAGTGAGTAGTGGTATTTCTTGGCCCCCAAAACTGCAGTGGTTAACTGTAGGGAAATTCCAGCAGTCAACTTGGTCATATTCTGGAGTTCATTGTAAAGGGAGGTTGCCCGTATTAGTGGGTTTTGACCTTCTGGTCGTGAGCTACTACACAGTGTGATAATTGGAAGAATGCAGAACATAATCTCTCCTGTGTTTTGAAAGAACTCGGTAGCTACTTAGTTCTTACAGTGGGACATGAAAGGTAGGAAATGGGTCAGGCAGGTTTTCTCTTTCAAAGCATAGTTAGAAGAATACCTTAAAATGCTGCTCGTGCAGTCTGGTGTATGACCCAGTTTTCTTTCTTTCTTGGAACTGGTCTGTGTTTTGAAAATAATATGTATCTGTTAGGTGTGAACCTGGAATAGAGAAAAATATCCGGTTCAGTGTATCAGCGAACTGATGCTGTGGAGAGGGCTTGCCTTGTTGGTTCCCGTCGTCGTTGTGTTTAAACTTTTTCAAAAGCAGTGAGGATACGACATAAAAAGGAGGAAGCCTTTTAACCGCTTCGTTGAGATCCTAAATCTGGCATTTCTGTCCAAGGAGGCACACCAGGAGTTACTTCCTAAGAGTGAGATGTGATGATAATATAGGTAAATAAGCAAACACTTTTGCCATTTGAAAACTGGTTGGGAAAATTTAAAACTCAAGGCACCTACTGCAGTAATTTAGGGGGTTCTCTTTGGTTTTCAGTTCGATACATTTGGTTATATCTGTTGAAAATGTTTCAAGAACAACACAGCAGTAGATGTGTGAACACCTTCCCAGCCTTCCTAAAGGAATAGTTTCCTTCCTGCTGTCAAGTCTCTGTAGTAGAAAACGACTCCTAGAAATCATCGCAACGAAGGAAGGCCACACGAAGGAATACAAGCGCAGAGTATGAATTCTCTCTTCTCCCAGAACAGCCCTGGTTACAGCACTAGGCCTACAGGCTGGTCTACGCTGGGACCATGTTTGCTCCTAGATAGTTATACTGGGATCATATCTGACAGGAAAGACTCAGAAGCAGGGGGCCTGGGGACAGCCGTTAGTGACGTGTGTCGGGCGTCATCTCACATCTCGGATTCTCCCTGGACTGCCAGTGAGGCAGACGGGGCTCCAGGGACGTGGGGCAGTGCCCAGGCTTGCTCCGCCCGCAGCAGACCGGGCTGCTTCTGTTCTGTCACTGTGGTGTCAGAGCACGGCCCCGTTCTTGTGTCGCTGTGCGCTGACCTCAGTGTGCCTGCCTTCTCCTCAGACTGGGATCAGATCCAGACGATAGACTCCTTGCTCAGGAAAGGTGGCTTTAAGGCTCCCATTACCAGTGAATTCAGAAAAACCATCAAACTCACCAGGTAAGCCACTGTCTTATTTTCCTTGTCATTTTAATTCACTTGGGGTTGGATGGAGGATACTTTTGACAGACAGGGGAAGAGAAAAATTTTCTCTGTTAATGTCTCTAAACCGAAGACGTATGGGTGAGGTTGAAGCTCTGAGGAAGCAGTGGCAGCAAAGGCAGAGACTCCCCAGCATCCTGGGCGTGTCCACGGCTAAGCTGCCAGCAGAGTGGGAGCAGAGTAGCCGCTGAGCAGGTCGTGGGTGTCTTTGTCAGACCCACTTGCTGGGAGGCTGAGCGGGAAGGCTGAAGGCAGGAGAAAAGGCTCTCAGTACAGAAGTCCAGGGTCAGTTGAAGTCATCCCATGTAGTCAGGTGGCCTGTTGATGGAATAGTTCCAAGGAAACGCCTCTGCCTGTTTGCGGCTAATACTTCTACGGGGAGGCTGCCTAGTGTAGGAGAATATGCATGGACTGGACTCTGAATCCCAGCTCCACCACTTCCTAGCTGTGTGACCTGGGCCAGTTTTTCCACCTCTCAGAGCAGAAAAAAAAAATTTCCTGTCTGCAAGAGGTGAATGGTAATGCCTTGGGGTCATTTCAGGGTGTGGTAAGGTAATGTATGAAGAAGTTCTAGTCCAGGGCCAGGCAACATTGTAGTAGGTGGTCAGTAGATGTCAGTCCTCTTCCCATCCCTACTGAACTCGGAAACACTGAAAGGTTTAGCTTCTGTGGGGTTTCTGTGGACCTCCGTTGGCCCGTTCATCTGTGAAATGCTGAATAATCAATATCGTAACCTCACAGGTCTATCTGGAAGATAACCCCGTGTTTTTGAAATGCTTTGGATTCCAAAAAAAAAGAAAAATCTTCAAATACAAAGCATTATTATTATCATTATTATTATAATTTATTTGAACAGCCATTTCCCTGTCAAAATTCAGGAATAATCACCTTGCAGTGGAGGAGTGATTACAGTGGGAAAGAGATGGCTCTGGGTAAGGATTGTCACACCCAGCTCCTGTGGTCTGTAGTAGGCTCCATAGGTTTGTAACACCCCATGCTTCGCATCCTGACTCATGGCTCTTTCCAGAGCAAGGCCAAAGTGCTATGAATTCTGTTCTGATGACCCTGTGATATGATATGGCATATTCATCCGGAAAGTGAGACCCATCCTCTATAGCCCCAGGATCTTTTAACCTGCTTCGTCAGAATTTGACCCAGAATTAGGTATCTGTGCCCCTTTTAGTTTATAAATAACTTGTTTGTTGCTTTTCTGCAAGTGGAGGTTGCATTTCTGTCAAATTTATCACATTTTAACCTGAAAGTAGATATGCGTTTTACACTGGGCATTGGTGCAGCCATCTTCCAGTCTGCTACCCATGTAATTTGACCTTGAAATTCTTCACCCAGACCCTAGCAGCAGATTGCTTAAGAGCAGCCTGGTGATAAGCATATGAAGTGTTTAAAGGTGGGATGTGCAGAAAACAGATTCTCAGGGGTGAATTGTGAGTGTGCTTTTCCATCTCGTTCATTTGTAATAACAACACTGTTCTCTTGTGCTGTCGTCTTTCATTCTCTGTAAGTAAGATTGCTCTTGGTCTTCCATTTTATTCTTTCAAAATGTGGAATAAGCTTTTGGTTTTCTCTGCCGCGTGACTACAAAATGAAGTATCTGGGGTTCCTAATACCCTGTCCTGTTTCCTTACACAGGTACCGAAGTGAGAAGGTGACAATCAGTTATGCAGAATATATTGCTTCTCGACAGCACTGTTTCCAGAATGGCGCTCTTCATGCCCCGCCCCTCTACAATCATTACTCCTGACACACGGCTGCATGACCAGTCCCACCCCCCCGTGGCCACCAATGGCTATGACATCATTGGAGCAGATGCCTCCTCTTCCTGGTCCAGTTACTTTTATTACTGCACCATTTTATGATGCTAGCTTCCGTTGCCAAGTCTGCCTCCAGCTGACTGAGGGGGGCGGGGTTACATCGAATGAAACAGAACTTGAGGGGCCCAAGCCTTATCTCAGCCTTTCCTCAGTATGGGGTTCCGTTGGATTGGGGCTCCTCCATGACTAGTGAGAATTCCGTGTGGGTTCAGAAGACCTTGGCTGCAGGTGCCGCTGGTGATTCGCTACCTGTGTGTTGGCCACTCAGTGGAAGCTGGAATTGATGGTCCGTGAAGGCTTAGCCCACACACACCCCTGCAGCCTCCCCAGGTCGAGTAGGTGTATTCCCCTGGCAGTCTGGGCAACGGAGACCAACAAGAAACGTTTTTAGGTTGTTTTAAATTCCTTTTTTTAAACTTCCAGTGTATAGCATACCACGAGTTGATCTCAACCTCCATGCTTCGTAAGTGGACGCCATGTTAGGGTCGAACGTGGGCACCATGAGTCGTTTGCGGCTCCTGGACAGAGACCCACCTCAAGATCGGAAGCCCTTTGGATGGCGTTGCAGATCTCATTGCTCAGTTAGCCTCAAAGGTTTTAATTCTCATCCCACTATCAGTTGGATTTTCTGGCACTCTTCCTGCATTGAGTCTCCTGGTATCGAACAGAGCGCTGTGGTGTAGCCTGCAGAGGAATGGACTGGGATGCCCGCGGGAGGTCCTGACGGCATCGCTGCATGCAGTGTCGAGGGAGAGACCTCTTCCTTACCACCCGGCTACCTCACTCCTCTACTGGTGGCAGTGCCTATAGCTGGATCTAGGTTCTCAGAGGGCAGAGGTGTTCAGACAAGCACTTGGGTCGGGCTCTAGAAGGGCACGTCGGCATAGGAGAGAATCCAGGGTCTCTAAGCTGTTTTTCTGTTCCGGCAAACATCCTGAGAGACCTTTAAGCAGAGGAGTTCCTTTTTCTAGTTTGCCTGTAGAAGTGGGAAAACTGTTGCTGTTACAGTCCTTACAGGACTTTAGAACAAAGCTGTGTCATTAAACAAGGTGAATCTTTATCTTGCCTAACATGCCGGGAATCTTTACCCCACCATGGCAGAGTTCCAAATAGCTCATTTTATTCTAGGTCATTCATCCTTTCGTGTGGCATATTTCCCTTTCTCGTTGTTGCTGATTCCAAATACCTGTCAGCAAGTTTCTCCTCCCTCTTGCCTATTCTTCACTCATATGGTGGCAAAGTTCATAGAAGCTGGGGACTTGGAAGACGCTTTGAAAACATGGTCACAGAGGCACTGCTGAAATGATTCACAGGAAGAGGTGGCCACTTGGAAGAAAGGACCCTACGGGTGATACACTGGTTTTCAACAACGTGTTTAGAGAACTCTCGACGCGGATTGGGTGTCAACCCAGTGAACACAATGTTTTGATTTAATTTATTTTTAATGTTTATGTGGTAGTGGTGTGGCTTTCCGAAAATGGGCAGATGTTCAAGTCAAAGGGTCTTTGGGGTTTGCTTCTGCCAGGAACGGGGGAAGGGGAGCAGAGGCACAATCTGAGGAATGACACACGTGCCATTCTAGGCATAGTTGTCTCGTTCCTTGAAGAGATGGGTAAGGGTGAGCAGGTGAGCTCGGCACAGTCCTCTGCTGTTGGCGAGGGTGTGGAACGGGCAAGGGAAGCGCCGGCTGACGTCTGGATGCGCGGGCTGGGCTCCTGCACGCCGCCGCCTTTCCCTCGCGGTGTTCGTGAAAACAGGCTCCCAAAGAGGAAGGGGTTGTTTCGTGATTTCCTGCTGCTGAGAATAATAAATGTCTTGTTGCAAATAAATGTGACGGCAGTTACTCTTAGGTGCCATGGATCGATGTCAGGGTGGTCAGCAGCTCTGGACTAAACCGCCCACCTCCAACTTGTACAACAGTATTGATACATAGGGCTACACTCATTCCTGTTCAAGTCTTCTATGTTGAAAGTTGTGTTTAATTTCTAAAGTTTAAAAAAAGCAAAAAAAATGGTGCTAAACTTTCACCCCTGAGCACGCTCAGTGAGACTGGTCATGCAAGCATTTTCAGTGCCATGCTCTTTCAAGCCTATTTTTTCTCGTAGAAATGTTGCCCTATTTGTCTTCCCCAACGTATAGTATGTTTTTTTATTTTATTGAGGGTGGGGTAGGATACCTGCCATTTAAGAAAATGAACAGAAGATTTTAAAACCCAGGAAATGGGGGGGAAAAATAGCAGTGCACAAGAATCGGGCTCCTGAAGCCCAGCACCACACTGACGAGGGCTCCGTGGGCTCTCTCCACTTTCTGGAGTGAAGAAGCCTGACTCCCTGCACATTCCCTCACGCCCCCATCCAAGCCCAGCAGTGGAGATACTCGAGGTCCTCTTGCCTTGGCGAGGGGACTCAGGAGTCGACCGAGGAGAACTGTTTGGCCCCGTGAGGAATGGCACTGTCAGTGTCTGTCCCGAATGGAGCCTAGTCAGGAAGTGGTCTGGAAGTATACGGTCAAGGTCACCTCCTGAAGGTGTATGGCAGGTGGCTCTCAGGAAAAATACTAAGTCTGGATCATCCACGTGGCAGCTTTGCGTAGGGAGATGACAGCTCCGAACTGGAACTGACCTGCCTTCCACGTGCTTGACCACAGCAGTGATGAGGGCGGCCAGTCCACGTAGTGGGAGTGGTGGGTTTGAAGAGAAGGGAAGGTTTTTCTGCTCGGTGTTTCCTTTGTCCTTGGGCTGCTCAAGCTGAACAGTAACCACTGTTTTCAAGGAACCAGCTCCACCTTGGCTGGTTTGGTTCGGAGTTCGTTTCATCCCTAGCTGTGAGTGCCTTTTGGTCTGGAAGGTTGGCTTGTCTCATAATACCCACAGCTAGGACATTCTCTGTAATTTCGAATTGTCCTTGTTCTCCATTAACTAAAAGAGAATGTCTGATCACTAGAGTTCGTCGGTGTTGGATTGTTTCCACTGTGAGGTTCTTAAACTTTTTCGCTTCATGATATTAAAAAGCAACTCATGTTAGAGACCCTTTCAACGTGAAAGGTTTGTAGTTGAGACATTACATATATTTTATTGTTTATAATAAATATCATCTGTACAAAAGTCCTGGGTGTTAATTTTAATATTTGCACAAGATCTGTTTTCCATGATATGTTAACACCTACAATTTCACTAACTGTTGATGTTATTTTCTATTGAGATTCTGGAGCCTAGGGAGCTATTTGTTCTTTTTGTTTATTTTCATTCTTATTTCCCTGAAGCAAGAGACTTTGTATGGCCTTCAGTGCAAAGACTTTAGACCAATTCTTTGTATTACACTTGGTTGCCTCTTGGCTATATAACTTCTGAGTGCAAATCATTGAACTCTTTAACAAAGTATTGTAGAGAATAAATCATAATGGGTAAAAATTGTTCTTTGTCTTGCCTCTTTTTTTTTTGAATAGTAGAAATAGTCATTTAAAATTTTTTTTTAATTTTATTTATTTTTGGCTGCATTGGGTCTTCATTGCTGCGCGAGGGCTTTTCTCTAGTTGCAGCACGCAGGCTTCTCATTGCGGTGGCTTCTCCCGTTGTGGAGCACAGGCTCCAGGAGCGTGGGCCTCAGCACTTGTGGACGCGGGCTCCAGAGCGCAGGCTCAGTAGTTGTGGCACCCAGGCTTAGTTGCTCCGCGGCACGTGGGATCCCCCCGGACCAGGGCTGGAACCCGTGTCCCCTGCACTGGCAGGCAGAGTCCCAACCACTGTGCCACCAGGGAAGCCCCTAGTCATTTTATTTTTAAAGACAGCCAACCAGATCATATTTATTCAGCCTGCATGTTTTTGTGTGGTGTTCATGATACCCAATAACCTTGCACTTTTATTTATTTTTTTTATGTAATGCCATTACATAAAAATGCCATTGGGTTTTTTGAGCCAACTTTTCTGAACTAAGGTTTGTGAACCCTTTAAAATTTGGATTTTTCTAGAAAGAAGGTTCATAGTTCTCATTAGGTTCTCCAGTGAAACTGACCTTGCCCAGAAAGCTACAACCTGAACTCGGGGGTGGGGGGGATGCTCAAATTTAAGATGTCATTTGGTGAGGTTAACCCAAACAAAGACCCTGGGACGTTGGTGTGGTCTGACCTAAAGGAAAATGTTTCTTGCTTTTGGGTGGCCCAGAAAGGATGAGGTGTGTTTGGAGAAAATGGCAAGGAATAATTTTTCAAACCTTACAAACATCCGTATGCTGATATTGTCAGTCTTGGTTTAAATTTTTATTTGCAAGGATGTAAAAATTTTTTTTTTTAACATACCCAGTTCTGCAGCCCTTACAACTTGGCCACAGGTATACGCTGTCAGGGTTAGATGATAATTTCAGGTTAGATGAAATAGATCACAACAACTGGTTAAACACAGACTTTGGTAATAACTCTGGGGTGTGTGAGAGGAATTCTGTTCCTTCAAGAGAAATTATAGTTCTAGAGATTAGTATTCCATATTTGCAGTTAAACAGCATGGAATTCCATTTTTGTTTGTTTTTGGTGGTGGTAAAATATATATAACACAAAATTTGCCATTTTAAACTCATTCTGTTGTCTGAAACGTGAACTAAGCCACGTGGTCAGAGATCGGTGGTTCTTGTGAGACTGAGGGTGGAGGAAGTGCTGTAAAGCTGCTTCCAGATCAGTCTAGGGTCTGTGACCTTGGCTTGAATATCTGCCTTTGAAAGGCACTCGCTGGGGCTGGTTGAAGAACTTGACCCTGAGCCAATACAGTATAAAGAACCATAGTAGCTCTTGAGGAGCATAATGACCTCTTTCTCTGTATCCTTCCATATCTCTCATACCCCTTGCCACTTTCTGTCTTTTATGATGGAAGATAAGTCCAGATCTTGCATCAACTGCTCTTAGTGAGCTCCTTTTGGGGACAGCTCTAGGACTGATTCATCTTTTTAACCTCAGGGCTTTGCACTTAAGTATTTATGATGGTTTTCCTGAATGAAAATGTAGACAGACCAACCTATGAAACATCACTATGTGTTATCTGTTATTCTCCTTTCCTCTCTCTTCACCTGTTGACTTCTCTCCTGCTGTGTGTGTTGGGTATCCGGCTAGCCCTGGGGGCAGCCCATGGTAAGTCCAGTAAGTAGTAGTTGCTCTGTGAAGCCCTGTTGGATGGATAGATGAGAGAAAGGGGCCTACGCTGAGTACAGGACCATTTCCCACACCCAGCTGCTGCATGTCCCCAGACTCCTCGGGACATCGGTCCACAGCTGTAATGAACTGTGTAGGAAAGCCCTTCAAGGCGGTAATAAGCTCTAACAATACTATAGAACCTGCCATTAATTCACCGGATACATTTCTTCTGGAAATACAGATACAAGGCAAATTAACTTTGTGAAAATTATATTTTAAATCAAAGGAATACAAGTACATATTCTCGTCTGGTAATATCCTCATTCATTTACTGTTAACAGAGTTCACATGATACCTAAACGTGGTTCACTCCGGAGCCAAGTAGTGCACTGTGATTATTTCCTTCATTGTACAGCCATCTGTTTTCTCTCAGGTTGGAAACTTTTTCATTTGCTTACTTATCTTTTTCTTTTTGCGGTACGCGGGCCTCTCACTGTTGTGGCCTCTCCTGTTGCGGAGCACAGGCTCTGGACGCACAGGCTCAGCGGCCATGGCCCACGGGCCCAGCCGCTCCGCGGCATGTGGGATCCTCCCAGACCAGGGCACGAACCCGTGTCCCCTGCATCGGCAGGCGGACTCTCAACCACTGCGCCACCAGGGAAGCCCCTCTTTTTTTAAATATTTATTTATTTATTTATTTATTTTTGGCTCCATTGGGTCTTCGTTGCTGCCGGCGGACTTTCTCTAGTTGCAGCGAGCAGGGTCTACTCTTCGTTGCGGGTGTGCGGGGCTTCTCGCTGCGGTGGCTTCTCTTCTTGCGGAGCATGGGCTCTAGGCACGCGGGCTTCAGTAGTTGTGGCACGCGGGCTCAGTAGTTGTGGCTCATGGCCTCTAGAGCGCAGGCTCAGTAGTTGTGGCGCACGGGCTTAGTTGCTCCGCGGCATGTGGGATCTTCCCGGACCAGAGATTCCAGGGATTGAACCCGTGTCCCCTGCATTGTCAGGCGGATTCTTAACCACTGCGCCACCAGGAAAGCCCCTGCTTACTTTTCTAAGTATCATCCAAATGTTCCAACAAGGCCTCTCAATATCACTATCCACATGTTGAGAATTATTGGAAAAATCCCACTACAAATCAAACATTTTAAATGCTTAAGGCATTGTAAGAAATTACACTGTATGTTTTCGGAGTCACCTACCCAGCTTCCCATCAACGATAGTTCCTTGGGTCGGTCAGCGCGTTACTGCATCTCATCTAATCCTTCCCTACGCCCTGGGAAGCAGGTATCGTCATCCACACTTCACCGGTGAGTTAGCTGAGACTCAGAAAGGTCAAGTGACCAGTCTCCACGACGCGCGGCGAAGGGCGTACTGGAGAAGAGAAGGACGGTTTCTCCGGAAACGACCAGCGCAAGATGCCCCTCGGCCCTCCGGGAACCCCCGCGACCTCCCGGCTCTGACCTGTCTCCGCTTCCTTAAGGGAAGCGCAAGGACGCTGCAAGTCCCTCGGCCCCGCCCGCCCCGTCGGGGTCCCGCCCACCCACCGAGGCCCCGCCCACCAATATGACCCGCCCATCCCAATGGAGCCCCGCCCCGTCACCAAGACCACGCCCCTTCCTGGCCGCGGCTCAGCGCTTCCGCTTCCGGCGGTGTGGGCTGCTGTGCGCGGCAAGACGATGGCAGCCGGTGGCAGTGATCCGCGGGCAGGCGACGTAGAGGAGGACGCCTCACAGCTCATCTTTCCCAAAGGTGCGGCCTGGGGCTGCCGGACTGCCCCTGTGGTCCTGCGTGGTCGCCGCAGGCCTGGGCAGGAGCGGCGAAGGGCAGGGAGGAGGGGGATGCGGGCCGGCAGGGCAAGGTGCCGCGGGAGCGGGCCGGCCGGAGTCCACGCCTGCAGCCCTGGAGCCGTCGGCGCCCAACTCCACACTGCCCCTGGGCGGCCTCTTGCTCCTGTTTAAGTAGTTTGTTTTATCCGATAAGCTGTGAAGTGTTGGAGGGATGTGTCAAAGATAAAGCTGGCACTAAAGGGGAAAGGACAGATTTTAATCAGTAATATACTATTGCAGTGGGACAGAGAGTCAAGCGTGGACTCATTTAAACTTCGATCTGTAGAGGTGACTGGGCATATTAAAGGGAGAATGAAGGAATAAGGAGCGGAGTGAGTGGGGCCTCAGTAGGGTCGGGGAAGTGAAAAATTACGAAAAGCGGGAAGCGGGGGGTTGGTCCATTTGAAACCCCTTTGGATTTGTTAACTGGCGTTTAACTCCTACCCTCCCACACCCCTCGCTCTGGGCTGGGACACAGGGGCCCTGTCTTCAAGTGTTGGCTGGAACAGTTATTTTGGCAGCCTTCAGTTTTCATAAACAACCACTGTAAAGGGCTAGAGTCATCCCAGGGATGCGGCCTGGAGCTATTAGAAATCTTGTTAGTGTTTTAAATGCATTTATTTTATTTTTATTTATTTTTGGCTGCATTGGGTCTAAGTTGCTGCATGTGGGCTTTCTCTAGCTGTGGCGAGCGGGGGCTGCTCTTCGTTGCGGTGCGCGGGCTTCTCATTGCGTTGGCTTCTCTTGTTGCGGAGCACAGGCTCTAGGCGCGCGGGCTTCAGTAGTTGAGGCACGTGGGCTCAAGAGCTGTGGCACACGGGCTTAGTTACTCCGCGGTATGTGGGATCTTCCCAGACCAGGGATCGAACCCGTGTCCCCTGCATTGGCAGTCGGATTCTTAACCACTGAGCCACCAGGGAAGCCCTCGTCAAGTTTCTGTGGACCAAAGTTGAGTCCTTGGGGAGAAGAGGGCGACAGGAAAGAGCCTGGAGTTTGGTCAGGGAGAGAATCTTTGTCAGATGGCTGGGAGTAAAGCACGTTTTGCTATCAGAGAACTTCCTCTTTGCAATGTGATGTGCTTAATTTGTAATTTAAAAACCCAAAATAAGTAGAAAGCTTAAGATTTTAAAGTATCATATCTTACAGGTACTGGAAAACACAAAATAAGTGGGGGAAGCCGTAACAGTACCCTTCTTTTAAAAGAAATTACTATATCCACAGTAAAACATGAAATTCCACACCTTTTCACCCAGAGGAAACGACCGTAAATAGTTTAGTGCTTATGCTTCCAAACTGTGCTCATTTATAAATATATACTTATACACTTTATTCTTTGCAAAAATAGAATTATGCTATAGAAATCATACAGCTTTTTAAAAATTTGATGATATATTGTGTAGAACTGTTCTATTCTTTCAAAGGGCTAGGTAGTACTTAATGGTTGTACCATAGTACTATTTATCTGTTGATAG